AAACAACTATTGTGTTTTGTGCGCGGTCAAGGCCAAAAAAGCGAACAAAAACATACAACAAAGAACTTTGTCGGGTTTCATAACCATTCCCCTCCATTAGCGATGGTCAAGTATACCGGTATTGGTGATTATAATAAGTCTTTGTTTTTGTTTTTCTCCCTCCTCGGTCATCTTAGTAGTTTGATTACCTCTCTCTCTAATGGGAGTGTGATAGCTAAACGCTTGGCACGCTTAACTCTTATTTCCACCAGGGTCGTTGTGTTGTGTTCTTGGGCAAAAGCCTTGTTCTCAAAGTACCTGCAAATGCTAGGTAACCTGGCCTGTAGNGGGGGGGGGGGGGGGGTGCCAATACTCCTATCTCGTTCCTTTCTGCTGCGGACACCATAAGCCAAAAAACTATTATACGGTGTTTTAACGATAAATTCGACGTTTATCATTTTATTTCTTTGTTTCAGACGAAATGCGCGAGTTTGCTCATCAAGATCTTCGCCCTATGTTTCACTTTTCTCGCTTCATATTTGTTCTTCTCCTGATCTTCTGTGCAGTGATTGGCGTCCTTCTCTCGGCGACTGTAAACCTCGCTGCAGGAGTCGCTGTCGGCGTAGGAATCTTCTTAGCGTGTTATCTTCTATTTCTGTGCGCTTATGTGGCGGACAGACGCTACAATCGTGGCGAACCATCTTGTGGAATCGGCGGATACGTAACTAAGGCAGTGGCCACTGTGAAACTCTTGTGTCAGCTTGTGTTTTGTATTCCTCCGTGCCCCAGCGCCACGAAGCCAAATTCGCCAGTTCGCTTCCTGTTCACGGACTTCAGTAAATTAACTTGCAGCGGAAGCGAAGCTGCGTCGTTGGTCGGAATGATCGAAACTCTGTGTGACGTCGTCGAGAAAGAGTTCGGATTTTTCGTGACCAGGTTGTACAGAGTATTTCGGTCCCAGCCTTCCGATTACGACGAGTCGTCGATGACAGAGGCGCGCTGGAAACGATGTTGTTGTTGCGTGCCGACGTTCACCATCTTCCTGGTGATTCTCGCGCTTGGAATGATCGGTATTGTGTTTTTTAAAGTTTACGGGGCGGGCGGTGGCTCTGTTATAACAGGCATAGAAATTGCGTCTGCCTCGATTGTCGGGGTGGCCGTACTAGTCCACCTTCCCACGTTATGCTCAATCTTGTACTCGTTGGTTTTCTCGCAGAAAAAGCGAATTTCAGTCGTAGCCACGCAGCTGGGGTTGAAGGAAGAGGGATTCATTCACGCTCTTAAACAGGAAGTAGAGCTCTTAACTGACTTGGTAAATTGTGTCGACGGATTCACAAGACATCAGACAAGAGTTGTGATCATGATTGATGGGCTGGATAATTCTGAACAGTCCAAAGTGCTGCAGCTTCTTGACTCGGTCAATCTACTTTTCACCGACCCAGAGGCGCCCTTTATAATATTGATGGCGTTGGATCCTCGAGTGATAATCCGAGCGATCGACCAAAGCTTCAGCAGTATACTGCGCGAATCACACATCAGCGCTTCGGATTACTTGAAGAGCATCGTTCAGCTGCCGTTCTACCTTCCAGAGCCGAAGTCAAACTACACGGGCGTGCTTCCTGCAGGGGTCGTCACCCTGCTAGAAGACCTGCGAGGTGAACTGCAATCTGACAACCCAGCTCTGGCCGAACGTTCGAGCGTGGCGGTGGACGATTTAGAATGGGACGGCGAAATGCTGGAATACAACGGTGACAATTGCCTTCCCCAGGCACAGAGACTGTCCCGGGACTTGCACAACTGTAACGGTGGGGTCCCGAGTCGGGTACATCCCGAGTTGGAGCTGCATCATTCGATGTTGTACGAGCCTTCTCATGAGGAGGAGCGATGTCTGGATCACCAGAAGCTCCTTGACAGAGAGCTGGAACTTGAAGAACGCCGGCGCATCTCTACCGACCTTGCGCAGGTACTAGCTGATAACGAGACTGTGAACCCGTTGGGTGTGAAGAGACTGATGAATATCGTCTCCTTGACATGTCGGCTCCTCCGAGCGCGTGGTATCGAGTACTCCTGGAAGCGGCTCGCCGCCTGGGTCAGCGTAGTGGACGGCTGGCCGTACAAGACCTCATGGCTTGTTCTTCTCATCGAAGACAGCAACACCCGTCTACTAGAAAACGTGTCGTTGAAAGATCTTTACGAAGCGACGTTGTCCGTCATGCCGGTCATTAATGAAGTGGACTGCGCGGTGGATGGAGACCCTGTGTATTTTGAAACCTTCCTGGCAAGTCACCACCCGCTTCTTAGCACGTCTGACGTGCGGCGCTTCTTGCCGTGTACCGTTCATCTTGATCCATCATTGCGCAGGCAGATGGTGGAGTGCTTACAGTCAGGAGTGGCTGTGACTGGTAATAAATCAGATACTGGAAGTGTAGGCAAAGGAAACCCTCATCTTCAGGTGAGACGTGTGCTTTGACGAACTCCTGGTGAAATAAACGTCGATTAATGGCTCATATTAGCACCATGTATCAAATAAGCGTCGCCAACATTCCCTTTTACGTTTAAGTTAAGTTACATTTAATTTAATTTGGAATCGTAAGGGAAGATTTCCTCAGCTTCCCGGTTTTTACTTTTGGGCACTTCAAATCTTTTCGTGAAATATAAGCACCTGTCTCTAATAAGCGTCGTCATTTGAGCCAACAATCTTTATTGGACGTCTCAGACTCTATATTTGCAGTCAAGAGAAATTGCAATAGGATCCTTGTTACGTGTAGGGGAGTAACTCAACAGTGCTAATTTCTCGATATCGTGAATACATTGCATCTCAGGCAGACGAACGTACAGATGATCATCAACTGCATGTACAGACATGGTCTTGATGTAGTTGGTGTAATGAAAGAAGTTACGTTGCAGCTTCAATTTCCAGGGACTGGACGAAATGACACTTATCTTAAAAACCCTTAGGCTAAAGCTTCTTTCCCTTCTGTCTCCAGGTTGGTTGCTCAGCAAGATCTGACAAGCAAGCAAGCTTACCTATGCTATCAATCGAAGATGTTTGTAAACAGGTTAGTAACTGGCACAAATCTAAGAGGAAAAATTCCAAATAATTGCTTTCAAAGTGGTAGAAATTTCCTCATACACCAGTACATCTAGGGGAGTGGAGATACTCCTCTACGCTTAAAGGAGCTCAGTCATGGTATTTCGAGTTATTTTGGCCATCTACAAAAATTACCTTTCAATTGAAGGAAACTTGAAAAAAGCACCAAAGAGATACTAATAAACCACAAGGAAACAAGGATGGTTAAGGGTAGGGAAGATTAACACGAAATTACAAGCGTCTAACCTTAAAAAGTTTGGCTAAACTTTTCAAGATGCAAAAACTTTCATGTAGCCCCTTTAAATCACGAAAACAGCGTCAAGCTCTGGTGGTGTTGGACACTTAACCTTTGTAGCCTTCCTTGTATAGTTCACGAATACTTTAGTTTAGTTGATTAGTTTATGTATTACGTTTGGTAGCACGTTCTACTGTAGATTAATCTTTCAACTGAACGCTGTTGAACCAATTGAACCAACGCGTTTAATTTTATCTGTATCGCTTGCTTCTCAGATTGCGGAGCTGGAAGGCCTGGATCAGAAACAGATATCCACTTATCAGACCGTGATAACAGGAAATAACATTAACGGCAAAGTACTGGCAACGTGCGACTTGAACGAACTAGGACACATCATGGGCATGACGTTCGGTGATTGGCAGTTGTTCCGCGCATGGGTACTGGCGGCCAGAAAACCTGCTCAGGAATGCACGGCTTGGTATGTGACTTTCTGTTAGCGTGTCATTTCCCTTTATGTTTTCGTTTATCAAGAAAAAACACGAAGTAGTTGTGTGTCATCCGAAAATACTACATAATTTCATGGGTTTACGGGGTAGAAATGTTCACCAGCAAAATAGCAAAGACGTGAAATCTAGGAACTGATGAAAACAGAGCTCTGATCGCGTGGAAGTCGTAACTTGTGTTACAGCTGATGAGTTTCTTTATTCTCAGCACCTGTCTGCTTGACAGCGTGTTGCTTTTGTAATGAGAAATTACTGGATTTTTATCACTTCGGAATATAAAAGAATTCGTGCTAAATTTGCACCATGTGGGATCTGGCTTACTGCACGATTTGCCCTTTAAAAATAATTTAGACTTTTCAGTTGACGCAGCATGTGTTGTGTATATTGTGGTAGACTGCGTTATTTCTTTGTCATTTGCGTCCGCGCTAAATATTATCGTAGGGAAAAAGAAGCATCCCTTCAGCCATTGCGTACTGGACCACTTTTGGGTTATTTGCATGCTCCCAGACTCTTACTCTTACCGGAAACAACCAGGCTTCTGCGCGCGCACCTCTCGTTTGAGTCCCACTCGTTTGTGGCCTTTGTGTATGTTGTCTTTCTCGTACGTTTCACCTTCATTTGTGTACATTCCAGTCATGTGGTTTATTTGTGGCTATTCACACGGGTCTCCCGGTGTATTCATCTGAACTCCTCAATCATTTCTTCCAGTCACTTGAATAGCAGATGCGGTAGTCCAGGAGAGATGAATTGCCAGCTTCTCAAGACATCTTCAGGTTAGAGCTATGCATGCGTGCTGTCTTAAGCTCTATTTCCAAACACACGGATGGTTAGCGGCCGGTCGGTATTTCTGAAGGCGTCCGTTTTGCCATGTGTTTGGTTTTGCTCCGATTTGGTTCTCTGTTAAGTCAAAATGGTCTTGGGTTGAAATGAAATGTCGATGATACTAGTTTGATCCCAGGTTAGGAAAACATGTATCTATGTCGTTTTAGGTGAATCGTCGTGGCATCTTGGCAAGATTTTCCGATTGTCCAATAAGGAATAGCCCTCACTTTCTCACGAAATGACGTCAGCATGACGTCATAAGCTTTTAAGACGACGACTTAAGCATTTATGATGACGTCACGTCTGTAAGACTTGACTCCACGTGCAAAATTCAAAAGTGCTATGTTATATGGCGTCCCAACTTTGTGAAAAGACTCTTAATTTCAGTGTTGAGATGACGTGAATAATGTGTAAAATGACGTCACATCTTTGTAAGAACAAGTTGGCTTTGCGTCTCTTTAAAAGACTATCTGATTGGACAAAAGACTTCCGAAACGCCTTGAAAGCGCCTCGAAAACTCCTCGGAATTCTGCGACCTAATACTTAAAACGGCATTTTGTTTCAACTTCACTGGATCGGAAAAACTACGAGTGCGGCTGTTAAATCGAAGAACAGAAAAAGCTTTCTCTGTCAGCACAATAACTGCATGCTTTACTGGTCTTTCGGGGTACTATCAGGCATTGTTTGGTTCTTTTGCTATAATACTATTTGTTTTTCTCGTTTTACTTTTCAGGCGGGTGGGATCACGTCAATCCGCTGACTGCACCTGGCAGGAGCAGCGCAGATTCAGCGGAACAGGTTCCGCAAGAGTCTCCTTCGTCGAAAGCCCCGGATATAGTGTTACAGCCTCCTTCGGCGCCGGAGAGCGAGGAGGAAGACAATAACGGTGAAACTGTCGACACGGTAGAGACAGAACTCGAAAAAGAGGAGAACGTAAAGAGAATTGACGAGGCTTTTGACGACGAAGAAGAAGCAGAAGAAGTCGAGGCAACTGATGCGGGTTTGAATCTGATTAAAACTAAAAGAGATGATGTTCTTATTTCTCTTGAGGATGACATTAATCTCCCTCCTCAGCCTGAGATCCCGGCAGTGTTTAATGACGATGACGATAACGACGACGAGCTCCCTGCCCCTCCCCCATGCGGCGCTGATTTGATCACGTTTAGTGAATCAGAAGATCAGCGCGAACGCTCAGACCTTGAAAACGACATTTTCCCTGTTCAGCCGGCTGAATCGGCTACATCATTGAAGAAACCAAATACTTCAACAGCAATGGAGTGCACATGCGAAAGCCTCCAACCTTTACAGACAATTGAACCCGCTCAGGAATGCAAACCTTCCAAGAATTCGTTGTTTTTCGACACTGAAGACAGTGAAGACGTTGGTCGCCCTGTGCCTATTGTGTTAACGCTGAACAGGAATGGGCCTGTCAAGTCTGCTGTAGCCGTCAAGAGAAGCAACAGCGCTTCCGGAAGTAGCACCAGCAGTTCCGGTTCGCGTGGATCGCCAATTTCGCAGTCAGCTTCCGTTGATTTTGGTCGCGAGAAATCTAGACCCAGACTCTCTCTGTCAGCGCGACAGTATTCGCTCCCAGAGCCCAGTCATCTGGCGCGACCTCACTCTTCGACGGATATCATCACTATCGAACATCCGCCAAAATTTCTTAAAAAGACTCACGAGCGCCCGCGAGTTGACTCGGATAACGAACCCGAGCCTTTTGCACTTCCTTCGGATCGGTTGATTCCGGAAACAACGAACGAGGGGAAAGACTTGAAACGATTCAGTCGTGATTCAAACGACTTCCCACCCCCTCCACCGTCCATCGAAGACAACTCAATTGATGATCAAGGGGACTCCCCTTGGGTTCCACTTATGACTCGATTTCAGGTTGAGGCCGGCGGTTCGCCCGTCTCTGAAAGTGCTGAGGAGCCGTTGTTACCACAGCGCCGTCCCAGGCCAAAAACGTCAACAGGCGCAAACGAACACAAAGTGCCAAAATTCCGCACTTACACGCCGAAACTGAAACCAACTTACGTGGAAACTAAAAATAGTCAGCAAGAGAATCTGAAAAGCGAAACTTGCGTGTGAAATATAGCTTCTACGAACTCCATCAATTCGAGAATCCTCGACGGCCTCGCTTTGGCAATAGCCTCGTTTTGCTTTCAACGTCATCGTCTTACGACAGGCAAATGAGATGTACGTTAGGCTTTTAGCTGGGATATTTTAGCAGTTAAAACGATATCAGAAACGGGTCCTCCCTGTTAATTGTAGATAGAATGAACATTGAGACATAGCGATATTGTTGTGCGGTTTACGAGTGTTGTGAAAAATTAACGAATCACTTTGAAAATGTACCACATGGTGTAATTGGACGTAGTGACAGAACGTCAATTAACGTATAGCAAACTCAAAATACAATCAGAAACAGCTTTTGTGTACTCGCGGAACGAGTTGGTTGCTGGTGTGAATTGAAAGCAAGAATTGTGAATGAAATTTTTTAAGTTTACTGGAGAGCGTTGTATGAGCAGGCTTTTTGAGATAATCAAGTGCTTTTAAATCTGTTTCTTATTTTATTAATTTGACTTTGGTAAGGAGCTGACAAGAAAGTACTTTTTACCTGTAATCATATAGAGAATTTGTGTTTTTATTTTTTATTTTTTAAATTCATTATCGTTACTTTGTTGCGAAGTTTGATGGAGCTGTATCAGTCGGTACAACTTGGAATTTTTAGGCCTAACTTTTTCGGCTAATTTTTTTCCTGTCCGTTAACTATAATTCCTTCTTTAGGAAAATATTAGTGTGTGTATTGCCTTAATTTCGAGGTATAAATTTTGCGCAAAAGGAAGTTTTCTCAATATTACATAGTCAGTGCAATACGGTAGCTCCTTTAAGCTTACTCAACGAGTTATTTCGTTCTGTGGTGGTTAACTTTTGAGGCTTTGAAGTAAATTAAGAATTCTTAAGCCCAGTTAAGGCAGTCAGTCGTCAGTTGTACCAAGACTGTTACCTAACTTATACTGTGTGTAAAACAGCCTAAGTAATTGTTGCTATTAGAGCTATTTTTACTTGAGTGTCGAACATAATTGGGTTACATGACTACGCTACATGATTGGTATATAAAGAAACTCGCGCCACTTCTTCATCCAATCAGAAGTAAAACGACAACCAATCGTGAATCGCTCGCACACGTTTTCCCGCGCTTCCTGACAGCTACAGCTAATTACTTCGAGTTTTAATGAATTGGTTCATTGCATTGTCTGCGTCCTTTGTAGCCAAAAGTGATTACCGTGGTTTTGGTTTTGCGACACTCAGTTGGAAACCGCTCAAGATGCACGGGAAAACATTTAACTGGCCAGAGCCGAGCGTAGGCCAGAGCTGGCCAGAGCCTTAACAAGCTAGAGTCAAGCGCGGGAAAACACTTAACAAGCTAGAGCCAAGCGCGTGTGGGAACACATGAAAACGGTGCCAAGCGCGGGAAAATGTGTGCAAACTATTCACTGGGTTTTCGATGTGATTGGTTGAAAGAACAGCATGTTTGCTCTGATTGGTTAAGCAGGTTTCACGAACCTTTTGAACCAATCACAGTACTCGGCAAAGTAAAAATTACTTTCGTCTCTCAAGTGAAAACGCTTTTAGCAAGACCTAATAGATGCCTAATTTCCTAGGATTTACCTTGTAGTTGAAATTCCACCTGGCAACGTGTTCTAGCAACGAGGCAGGGCACTAGAATTTTGACTGTAGCAGTCAAATGTGAGGGTAAATACGAGGCCGCAGCTGCAAAGAACTAATTTGAATGTTTCTTTCTCTTTGAACAGTCGTGGCTGTTGCGCCAGGTATAATTACAATCTATTTATTTGCTATCAGATCTTATGAGCTTAAAAGCTCCAGAATGTATCGATAGATATGGTTGAAATATACATTGAACATAATTATGAACGAAACTTGTGTGATTTCTCTTGTTTATTTATTTGGGTGCGTTTCTGTGGTAAAATGAAAATCCGCATTCTTGATTGCGCTTGTTTTTTAAAACAAGAAAATAGATTATGAAGCCACTGAGTCCATTATGCAAGTGAATTCAGGAGATCATACCTAAATCTGGAAATGAATAGTGAATCTGCTTGAAGTAATAACGTTAAGGCGTTAAAAACGCAGCTTCTTTTCCTCGGTTTTGTCTACCGTCCACACTAATCCGTCACGAAAATGACGCTTTTGGAAAACACTCTTCAAACCGGAGAAATTTGAAAGCAATGGATTGGCGTTTCAGTGTGGACGGAAAACATTTTGAAAACGGAGCTTTTCGAAAACAATGAGGTCACGATAATCACGTGACTTCCGGCCCTGCCCGAGTTTCCTTCAAACTTAAATCCAAAATGAGCGGTGATTGTTGCGTTTTCAAATTCTTCCGGCGTAGTGTGGACGGAAAACATTCGACGCGTTTTCAGAGCGAAAATGCCTTTTTCAAAATTCTCCAGCGCTGTGTGGACGCGGTCTCGGTCTCCTGTTCCTCTGGACTTCTGTTTCCAACTTTAATCACTATATTCTTTAAGCTATAAGATCTTCTCTTTACTCAGACGTATGCTCTCATAGATAGATGAAATACATGCATCGCATCATACCCCCTAAGTTTCCCTTGTCGTCTCGATGTCGTCCGACCCCGCCCCGCGCGAGTCGCCGCTCTGGAGTTTCGGTGTTCCATCTCCCTCGGCCACCATTTCTCCGGAGGACCATCTTTTATAAAGATTGTTTGAAACAGAGTTTTTATACCTAATCGTACCTTTTTGGTACGCTTCGGTGGCATATCAGGCGAGTGTGGTCGAGCCATGGTTCGTATTTTGGCAAGACGTAGTTGAGCCAAAATATCCACGGCGAGTCGACCCAACGTGCCTGATATGCCTCTGAAGCATACCAAAATAGTACGATTAGGTATTTGCTTTACCCAAATTCGACCCAGAAGTAAGCATACTGTAGCCATATCAGGTCAGTGACTTGATATCTTAGGATATCAGGTAGTAGACACGGCTTCTGATTGGCTAATTGCGAATTTGCACGGCAACAGGCTATAGCATACACTTATTTGGCAAAGCAACCTTTCAATATAACTGTAAACAAGACGAACGTCATTCTGGAAAGTGAGAAACGGAAAGAATTCTCCTAGTTCATTTTTTCTCGCTTTAACACTCTATAAGAATAATATTTTCAAGCGAAATCCTAAGGCGTCTTCACCGGTTTTTAGCTATTGAGTATCGATTTTCAACTCTTTCCTCACATAAGGTTGTCCCTTCCTGGACCTGCAAATCTTGCATTTTTCTACACATTGAATGTACAATACGAGGAAAAAATTCCTGAGCACTTTCAAGTCTATAGACTAAACCGTAGAACTAGCCTCTTCCGCGCTTTTTTTTGTTTTCTCGCGCGCTATTTTTCGCGCTGCGTCCCCTTTAACTGAACCCCTGGAAGAGGCTAGAATTGAACGGAACGTTATATTTAACCGATGTCTTATCATTATAGATTTCAACGTGATTACTAAGTCATTGTGATATCAAAGCTACTCAAGCGAACGAAAACGCGGCTATTTTCTAGGCCAACGAGGTGACAGGAAAACGCACAATATCCGAGTAAATGTGTGTTAAACTGTTGCAGTCGTCTCTAGACTTTGATTATTAATATTAATTACTTTCAGTTCCTGTTATAAAATAGGATGAACCAACGCTATGGGTGGCTACAAAAGACTATGATACCTGATAATTGAACGACCCACCCCTCAGTTGCTAAGGGCTCAAAACTGATGATTTACCTCCTCTTTGCTACGGCGCCTCCACCCCCACCCCCTACCCCCTCATCCTTTTTGACCAGTTCCTAATCAATATTCTACAGCTTGAAATCCTGGTCCGGGTTGTTCAAAGCCTGATCAATTAGTTAACCCAGGAGAAGCGAGAATTTAGATTTGAGTTTTTTTAGCTTTGCGGTGAGGTTTTCTGTTTATATTGTTTGGCCTCCTGAGTTAATTGAATAATCTCAAACTACACAAAACGTAGGCAGTGAAAGCATTTTTATGCAAGAAAAATTAATACCTCGGTTAACTTTTAATCCAGGATTAGCGTTAAACGGCTTTCGAGCAACGCGCCCCTGCTGTACTTCATTTCAAACATGATTTACTTGATATTCCTGTAATATATATATTTTTTTCTGCTTTCAAACACATTTCTCTTTCAGACACACTTTTGTTTTGTTTTGTTTTTTCGTCTTTTTTTGCATGATTTTTGCTAACTTTTCCAAATACTAAGATTTTAAAGAATAGTTTAATTTATTAGTAACAACATGGTAAGCAAAACAAGATGGAATGCTCACAAAAAATATCCTTGTCACTTGGATAAACAAACGCACGATTTTCTTTCTTTTTTCTTTTTTCGCGGTTCCTGATTCGCTGGCAGAAAAAGTGTGCAAACAAATTTCCGCGTCGGATTTGGGCCGTGTTTGTCAGCGATTGGCGTGAGTTTCTAATCCATATTCATAGCAATCGAAGAGTTTTGCACATTTTAAACTGTTTGTTGATGAGTGAAGACGTGTCGTCCGGCCAAGGGCCAATTGTACTCCTGAAGGAAGAAGATGCTTAATGCTGGAAGGACGTTATGCTAGGAGAGAAGTCATCATTCGATTCCAACTGAAGGTAAGCGATTCTTTTGGAAAACAGTCGCTTTGTTTTATTTCGAAAGCCACTTCAGTATCAAAATGTTACCCATACGAGTGAACACGTGCAATGGCTGTTTGCTTTGAGCGTCGCATCTTGAAACAGGACAGCAAAGCGGTATCTTCAATTCCACGTTTGTAATATTTCAAGAGCGGCCAATTTGAATGATACTCCTGCAAAAGCTAATGCTCCGTAATATTTAACTGAAATTTCGGATGTTTAGTGGTCAAATTTGCCTGACCAAACGCTGAAGCCAAGACGAGAGACAAATGGAGATGAGAAATCATTTACCTGTTCAAAGAAAAAAAAACGCGCGCTAAAATTTAACCTCATCATGAAATTGCACTGGGCCATTTAGATTTCTTAAGGTTCGGCGTTAGGTTTTGGAGGTAACATTTCGTTATTGTTCTGCAAAGTTTTTCCTTATTTCGTTTAGTTTACTTGCTTTTGGAATGTTTGTACATGTTGTACCATAACTGAACTGTAAGATTTTTGCTTTGCCCGTTTAATTTGTAGACTCGCTGCTATTTGTATTGTATTCGAGTCGACTGAAGCTTTTACAACGTGCATTATTTTTTAACGCTTGAGCATTTGCTGATCTTGGACTTTTTCATTTCTGTTTCCAGGAATTCAGTTCTGGCAGGCCAACGAAGCTGATGGAGTGGACAAACTGGAATCACCGAATTAGGAGGAATTCTTCAAAGATAAGAACTTTGAAATTGTTAGATAGCTAATAAAAATGGTGGCTGAACAATGTCTAGTTAAATTTGTTAGGGAATAATTGTACAGTGATTGTTTGGAACGGATAAAAATTGACTTCATTAAGAGACTGGAAAATGGAAGGAAATACTTTAAACTGGAAAGGATCATCACTCTCGACTCGTCACATCGCACACTAACAGTATTCTGAATCGGCGAAAAAAATGCCTCAGTTAGAGACTGGGAAATATGGTAAACGAAGTACTTCAATTTCAGTCACCATTTGCCGATTCTTTTGCAGACATTATTGCGAACCTTGATAGCGTTCACTTAATTTTGATTTAGTTCATCTCGGGCGGAGTAAATTCTTGGTTAATGTCTTGAGTTCATGCAATTTTATATATTATTGAACCTCGAATATTGATGAAAATTTTATAGTTCATTTGATAAGTCTAGCTTTTGGAGAAGAGTGTTCGCGATTCTTTAACGCTGATTTCTCGAGGTCTTTTAGTCATGTCTGCAAAGCAGTCGGTGATTTATACGTAACTGTATTTAACAACTTCAGTTGATGCTGCAGAAATAATATTTTTCAAAGGTGGCACTGCAAAACGTGAGAGTTAAGAAACTACGGACTATAGACGAATTCTGTTGAGAGATAAAAGGATTGACTATATTGATGTTAAAATCAACAACTGAAACTAACAAGGGAAAATTGCAGGTAAAAGATCATGTTTATTTGATGTGTACGATACAATGGATAGAGCCACCTTAAAAGATTCAGTTTTGCTGCATCAACTGTACAACTGTAGTAAACAAGAGAATATGGCCTTTTTGATAAAAGAGCAGATTTCTCCAAAACATCGCAAGTTTCAGTCTTTCTTTTCTTTTTTTTATTTTTCGCGTGGAACCCTGACTGACTGACTGACTGACTGACTGACTGTACACTAATAATCGATGATTTCAAAAATTACTCCACTGTCGCCGGCATTATTTACTAACAAACTGTACAACTGACTGATGCTCTGCTCAATGGGTTGATTTCAGTACAAGACTATAAATAACATGCAGCGAATGATTTGAAAATCTGTTTTACTAATTTAGGACAATGACCGCCTCGTTACAAACGAATCATTCGCGACCTCGACTAAACTAATTTGAACGAACTTGGGTTTCGCTCAGAGACAACTGATATTTTCTAATCATAATGAAATCTGACTGTAACTGACTTTGCTATCGCTGTTTACAAACATCGCGCGAGTCTAACCGTACCAAACAGTTTCAGCACAAACAACTTTTCACCCGACTGGAAACGCCCATCATCAACAACTACTCTTTACTGGTTTTGAGAATTACTCTTACACCATACTGACGAACTACTTAACTTCAGGGTTCAAACCATTTGTTAATAAAAACAAATTTGTTTATACAACGCAAAGTACATAGGTAGTTTTCATTTTGGCTTGTTTTCGTTTGGTGAACGTCCGGGCGGAGAATGTTTATACAGGGCTATGTTCTCTTGTCATATTTTGAGTGCTTGTTACAAACCCTAATGCCTGGTTAGAGAGATTAACAGGTCTAGATTAAGTTAGTGTTTCCAGTTTTCGGTTATACGGACAACCTAATCACACAAAAAAAACAGCCAAATTAACCGCGTTATTTTGTCAAGTATTACTTATGTCGATAACTTTTTTATGTTCCAAAACAGAAACAACACGCAGTCATTAAGTCAGTGAAACAATTGTCTGGTTTGCTGTCCAAACAAAGTCAGGATTTTCAGTTTTCTTATTGTACAGACCAAAAAAAAAAAAATAAACAAATTTCGCTGATGAATAATTTCATTGAGTTCTCTCTGTGTTAACTTTTCAATTTTTGGAAAGTAGAAACCTGAATCATTTATTTGGCTTCACAATTGTCTTGTTTACTTTCATAATTTTAAATCAAAATTGCTTTCCTGTGCTATCACTCGACGAAATACAGTCTTTTGGGAAAAAAATGCAATGAATAACTTGGCTTGGACATTGTCTTCATAATTTTAAAGTGTTATCACTTTCTTCTGTTATACATAGCGAGAATAAAGAATTCGGAAATTATTTTCTGATCTGATTTTAAAAATATTTCGATCTCAAATTCGTTTGTAAATTCAGCAGTGTTTTTGATAGCTTTTCACTTTTTATTATCCTTTTGCTATTTTATGTCAACAAAACGATAAAATAAAACCTGCAATGATTATTCGGCTGCACAGTTGTAAACTATGATGCAATTTGAGAATGTCTTTACTGAACGAATCAAACAAGATGAAAAAGCGAATTTCAACCGGGTTTCATATTAGTTCCGATGCGTGTTTTCGCTTTCAGAATTGTTTGTCCTTCATTTCGTTTTGTTTATTGTTGTCCGTATAACCTTTATCTCGTTTTTTTGTTTATTTTATCCTCATGTTCGCGTTAAGGGTGGGTTTTAACTTTCAGAATTGAATCGCTTCAACCAGGCACTTGGGTGTTATAATAAGCCGGTTTTTGAAAAATGTTTAGTAAGTAGATGAAGATCTTTTACCGCTGGTGCTCGTTGTAACACAGCACATTGCATGAAGGCAAATTTTAAAAAAATTAAGACACCAAATTACATTGTGCTGATTTCTGAATTGTTGAAGTTGTTGAAGTTGTTGTTAAAATCAAAATAAAACCTGAAATCAGCTAACAGTAACAACACGAGCAATTGTTGCATGGCTAAACAACAGTTAAAATTTTCTGTATTACTCCAAAACTTCATAGCTGTTGTTACAGATTGTTTAGGATGGGATAATTTTTTTGACGTGTTTGGTTCAATTTGTCCTGTGTTACAAACGAGAATTAGTTGAAAAAGGTTTTTATCCGAGACATCATCTCGTGCAAAAGAGTTTGGAAAAAGTGAAAATGTTTCTTTGATGATTAGCTCGGTTCAAAATTGTTTTATACAAGCAAAGAGGTTGAAATATCTTTTTCGGATTTTTTTTTGAGGATAGAAAACAAATTGGCGTTTTACTTCCAACTTTTTTGCATGAAATGATGTTCAAATTATTTTTGGCGGGAAATTATAAGGGAAGCCATTTTGAATTTTTTGCCGAGAAAGTTGCCAGGGGAAACGNCCCCCCCCCCCCACCACCACGCGCGCTCCACCTCCTCGCCACCCCGTCTTTTTCTCGCCGTAGCTAAGACACCATGAATTAAGTACCCCTCTCCGGATCCATATGAAGTTTCAAGGGTACCCAGTTTGATTTGAGTTTATTCTGTTTAACTTGCATCAATCTAGGATGATGCTGACATTCAGTGGAAGTTTTCTAGAACAGGCATGTGGATGCAGTATGTTGACAAGGGAAGTGTCGTTCCGCCGCCGTTTAACCTTCTGCCCAGCGGGAAGTATTTCATTGAATTCTGCAAACGCTGTTACGACAGGATAAAATTTCAAAAGGTGCGTAAGACGTTGTTGCTTTATAATTCGCTTTTGTTTACCCGGTTTTGACAATCGAGAATTTGACCTCACAGGTGTTACGCGTGGAGAGTGTTATCATATATTATAAAGTGCAGTATATTTTCGTGGTGAAAGTAAAAGTATAGTAGATCAAAACCTTTTTGAACAAATCGTAACAATTAAGGCATCACTAATGTATCAGTTGTAAATTTATCACAACCCTGCGGCCCGCCCTACTAGGGGTTTCCGTCATTTTATTGTCATTATTACTTTCAAGACTTGACTGCTCGGTATGGTATATACACTTGATACATTCACTTCATTTGTTTTGATGGCTGGGTTGCCTGCTGTTTTCTTGTGGCGGGCGGTCATTCATGAACTTTTTTTAAATTGCAGAGAGAACGTTATGATGACCTGGAGTCGAGTGAAGAAGTGATTGAAGAAGACGAGGATATGCTTGAGGTAATGAAGTAGACAATGGAAATAGTCTCAGTGGTCCATACAGCCGGAGCTTTTCCTGGTTTCTGTAGTATAACGTAAAGAGGAGTATATCTACTTCCCCCGTACATTTGATGCTACAGTCCATCGCAGGGTTACCCTCGGCATTTAATTCTCCAGTACTTTTTTATACACCTTGGTAGAGAGAGGCACTGTGAGGGAAAAGTGTCTTGCCCATGCAGGAACGCAACGCAAAAATGACCCCGGCCACGGCTCGAACTCAAACCACTCGATCCGGAGTCCAGCGGTCTATTAACCATGAGGACACCGCACCTGTCACTCGTGGCTTACTTACTAGCCGGGAATACTATATAAGCCCTGTTTTAACTACAAATCTCGAAAATATGTATCTGTTTCGATAATATTAAGACATCCTACAGGGATATCTTAACTGATATGGAACAAAACTCTTCGTATGGTCACACGGACTAAAATGAATAACAGTCATCACTGAAATGTATCCGCAACATTCCTCGTGTTTTTTACGACCCTAGCTTCTTCGTTTTACGTCTGATTGATTAAGTGCAACATTGTAACCAAAAACAGTTCCGTACTAAACTTCGTTTGTCGTGAACCTTGACGAACTTCCCCCAGGGTAGGGGTGGGGGAGACTTACAGGTTAAAGGATGGAGATGTTTATCTTTTCGATTGAAGGAATAAATTGACGATTTTGGTCTCAATAATCCACCGAAGTATGTTTTAGGATTGTCGTTATACTGTGTCGATGGTTTAGACAGATTGGTGTAGAACCTACAAAATTTCTTAATGTCTTTATTGTCATTAGTATCACTACGTGTCTGCAAATATTCAATTCGGATTTCAAATCGGCCGACGGGCATCCCTGCTCCTTTAACATGACAACCCCCCTCTTCGGCGGGACAACAGCTTTAATCTCCTTGCATATTCTTGTTGTTTTATAGCGTGACAAAGTCCTGAAGAACCTCATTGATCGCTACTTTTTCAGTTCTCGTCAGGCAAGAGATCGACGTCTGCTCAATAATGTACTCAAAGCTTTCGGAGGAAACAGTCAGGTTAGTGACGTCACACATCAGATAATTATGACGTCATGGATCAAAACACGGACACTCATTGGGTGACTCATGGACGACTTGCGTGCTTTGAACATATTGTCAACCAACATAATCACGAAATAATCGGAAATCAATTCAGAGAGCGAAATACATATCTGCACTAATAAAATAAATTTTAATATTTAGAGAAGAAGCCAAATAAGCCGTAGCTGGTTTCATGCGGGTCCTCTGTCTTGGTCGAATTGAAATTTGGAGATGTTGGTTTTTGCGGAGGAAGGAAACCGAAGAAAAAAACCCTCGGAGCAAGGCGAGAACCAACAACAAACTCAACCCACGTACGGCAACGGGCCTGCATCGAACCCTAGCCGCATTTGTGGGAGGCGAGCGCTCTCACCATTGCGCCATCCCTGCTCCCCGGTATAATAGTACTAGTATAATACGTAGGTGACCGCTTAACGTATAGTCTTCCTCGAAGCCTTTACTTGTTTCGTTGCAACGTAACGCTGCTCCTCGCCAAGTGAGCAGAAGCGTTGTGTGATGACCCAAATAATGGCTGGGAATTAGACAATGCAGGGTTGACCAGACTCTGAAGCGGTGAAGTGGTTATAAAAGAAAACGTTACTTCAATGGCTTTGGCCTTCTTATTATCTGATCATGTTCAGTCACTCTGTATTCAATGTTTGGCTTCTGGTTGCAGGACGAATCGTCGACCGCCAAGGACTCGTCACCAGCTTCCGAAGAACAAAAGCCGAAAACGTTGGGATGGCTGAGTCGCTTACAACAAAAATAAAATCATTTTTTTTGGTAGAGTTACAAAAAATAACGTACATAATTCCTTTAGATTCAAGAACTTGTTTAATCATTGGTTATAAGGTAAAAATAGAAGCATCATGTTGAGTTGCTCTCCATCAAAGGGTTTCGTGCCATTTGGCTCGTCTCATGACCTGCTATGTCCAATTGACTACATCAAGTCGACAATGATGTCCATACTATTTCATTTAGAAATTTTTAAGAATTCTTTTATCTTAAGCCAGATTCACATTGTAGCTTGTGACTGTTTGTTCCTTTTAGCTGCGCTGCTGTCCTTGCTTTTGGTGTCAGAGGGAGCGAGTTTTATAACGTGTTCGGTTTTGTACATGTTCACAGTTTCAAACGCGCATTAAAAGGAAAAATACCCTGATATAATTTTCTTGTTTCTCTCTATTAATATATTTTTCTCGTTGGTTGAATTTTCATTAACCTCGTAGCCATATTTATGCGTTAGGTGAAAAAGACGATTATGCAAATTTTAATCAAAATGTTACTTGTGATTAGTGGTCAATCAATTACAACGAATTACTGAGATAATCTTGTTGCGAACAACAGCAAACGCGTCCTGTTCTCTGCTGGTGAGGGTTGTCCAATACGCAGTGTAAAGGTTATAGTCCGCTTCTAGCTTTGGAAAATTGGAATGCAGTGTCATTATCAGTGGTCTACCGAATACGGAGCCGCCCAAGAAAGTAAAGACGACGGTGACGGCGACGACGACGACGCCTAGTCACATTTTACCTTCGAATTTCGCAATTGTCTACATCTGTTCAGTGTACTGATGGCTCTAAAATCGTGCTCAGGTGAAATATTTGCGAATGGAAATTCGAATAATTAGCCGTGTCGTTTGCGCTCCTCAGACTACGCAGAACTTGGTCATTTCGCGTTGTTGTTTTACAGAGGACGGCAAAGAAATGTGCAAAGTTTGATAACGCAAGTGTACAGCCATTGTTTTCCTCTTTATACCTTTTGTTTGGTGGCGTTCTCGTTGCCATCGTCGCCGTGGTTTGCTTAAGTTCCCTTATATCAGTAGTCTACAGAACCCTGAGCCGTTCAAGAAATGCCATTTCCTTTCAGTAGAGTTAGTAGTTTTCTATTATTATTAGTTTTCAGGTTTCGAAGGTATATGAAAACAAACCTCAGCGATTTATATCTTTAAAATGGATGGCTTTTTTTGAACCCTCGTTAAAGTCAGGTGTTTGAATAATAATTGGTCTCATTACTAAACAACGTAAATGAATCACGGAAGTGGAACTAAAGATGCTGCTCAACCGTAAAGAGAAACCGCATGTCTTCTATTAATTCCTCAAACTTCCAACAGATCTGTCTATACATCAGCGGACTAACCGCCTCGCTAAGTGTTATTGTCGGCTTTGAACATCGAAAAGTCGATACGACTCTTATCTTGGTTAACGTTCTACATAGAAAAATGTCTGCCTCATTTGAAGCAGAAGAGATATCAAACAATCGAAATGTTTCATTTCCTCCCCAACAAAACTCAACAATAGCTATTGAATTAGACGAAATGGAAATATTGTCTGGTCCTCTGAGTGCTGATGAAGAAGCATTTTTTGAAGCTGTTCAAAGCGGCGACAAAGAGTCAGTTCAGACGTTACTACATGACAAACAAGTCGACGTCAATTGCAGAAATACTAACGGAGAAACCGCGCTACAAATAGCCGTTGATGAGGAAGCAATCGATATCATCAAAACGCTCCTGGAAAATCAGGCAGAAATTGGTTCAACGTTGTTCCAAGCTGTTAGGAACAATTCCTTGCAGTGCGTCAGGATTCTCGTGGCATATGATTCGAATCAGAAAATCAGCACTGCAAAAGAAAGAAGTTCAGCAACGACATCGAAAACACTAAAATGCTCAGGGATGTTTGATGAGTTTCTGACGCCGCTCGGCTTGGCTGTAGTGAACGGAAACTACGCAATTGTCGAATTTCTCGTCAGCAAGGGATACAGAGTAGAAGATCCACAATCGCAGAAAGCTCAAGATGCCTCCGAACGAAGTGTAAAGGAATCGATGGCCAGGCTTAAAGATTCTTTGGTAAAATTGAACACTTACAGAGCTCTAGCAAGCCCTCTGTATATATCTCACCTATTTCTGCACCAAAGCAAGCACGTGGGTTTACGCAACGCTGAACATGCAGCCAGCGACCCCTTGTTCCGATCTATAGTATTAAAGAAGAAACTGAAGGAATTATCAGTCAGCGAAGACGAGTTTCGTGATGATTATCGGGCCCTTTCAGCTCAGTGTGAGAATTTTTCAATTCAGTTGCTTGATGAGTGTAGAAATCTTGAAGAAATCGCTGCTGTTATGGACATGCCGGAACTTGAAAAGATGGAAGAGGAAGTACATTTGAGAGAAAAAGAGAAGCGATTGCGTGTTCTAAACCTTGCCATAAAACATCACAACGTCAAGGTAAGCTAGACTTCAATACCTAATTGGATTTGTAATCGTGTCTTTTTTCCTCATTCTCGTTATGTCGGTTGTCGGTACGTACTCGTCATCAGACTATCTCAGAACTTCTAGCCTGTTTACAACTGCTGTGTAGAGTGATTTTCTCGCTAGCCTGCGAAATAGCCTACGTGTAGCCGTACTTAACAGCCCCGCACGAAGCGGGTTGGGGCTGTGCGCGAGAACGAGAATACAAGCGCGACACAAACATTCCGCGGTTTTGCCGCGCGTGTCACACTGCTCCAACTAACAACTCGCCTCCAACTATTACTACCTTTCGCCCTCTGTTTCCGGCGTGAAACAACAGGCAGTCTAAAAGCAACTTGGGGGTCTCAAGCTGAGCTAAGATATTTTCCCGAATCAAGGGAATTTATAAACTTCTGTGCGTGTGGGGTTTTTTTTTTTATCCTAGCAAGTATTAGCCAGCCTAACAATGCCTACATGCGGCTTCCAAGATTTAACTGATAAGGAATTTAATTCATTGGTATTCTGTTGCTTGCATAACGAATCAGAGACTCGATTATGCAGATTAACCGACAATCACGGACTGTTTAATAACAACTCCTATATTCTGAGGTACTTTGAGCGAATTAAGAAGCGCAAATAAAGACAACTCATTAGTTCTTATTGTGCATCGCCGAAGCCAGAATCCAATATAACGGAGAAAATCTGTAGACGGTCTAATATCAACCATCGTGTTTTGGTTTAAGTCACTCAGAAGGTTTCAATTCAGTAAACATAAATAAAGCATATAAACAAACAAACAAACAAGATAATAGACCAACAGTGAAATAATCTTCGATAAAACACTGAAACATCTCCACACTTTTAAACCGTGAAACACAGAAACCGACATAAACAATCATAAACACAGCAAACAAAACATACTTGCACTTGCCATAAATAACTTGCCAAATTTTAACATAGCGATTTTGTTAGTTTGTCAAAAGGCTGACCTCTTCAAACTACATTTTTAAAACCATAAGATAATCTCACTGAGTGGACTTTGCCAGAATGTCACATGTTCAAGAACTCAAGCACTTCTTTCAGGTGTACCAGTTTAGAATGTATCTCCTAGTTTATGGTTAATTGAAAGATTAACTGAATTTGTTCTCCGATAGCATCTCTTTTAGCACACATGGATGCATGCTTTTCAAAACAAATTATTTGCAAAAGCTAACGTGCTGAAGAAGGCTAGCTAACTATCATGACATGTGGAACTATATGACAGCAGATAATAATTTTCTTTTTTGCCGAGGCACTTACGAGGGTACTATCAAGGGATTTAGCTTCATTTTTGGTCAAACCTGGGCTTAAGTGATGACATAGTACCAACTCTCCTACACGAAATGCTCAAAGGCATCGAAATTAATTAAGACATTCAGTGAACTGTTGAAGAAAGAGCTAAATGCAATCAGTATTTAGCCATAAATCCAAGACGCAATGGCAGAAATTGAAAATTAATGTCTGCCCCACAGTTTCAATTGAGATCACGCGTAGTATGATAGCATTATAGCTTTAATTTGGTACACTAGAATAGTATTGTGTGATCTCGTTCTCTGTATTTTGGTGTGTCTTGTCGTCTGTTTCTTTTGTTTTACCTCATCTGTGACCGCTGGATACCTACAGAAGAAGTTATTCAGGGCCCATGCTCTTAATATTGCCTCTTTAGAGCGATGTCTGGTGAGTGCATTNAAACGTGTTTTTTTTTTTTTTTTTTTTTTTCTGTTCTCGTTATGTCGGTTGTCTGTTCGTACTTGTGTACTTCAGAACTTCTAGCCTGTGTACAAATGCTGTGTAGACTGATTTTCGCTAGCCCGTGAATTAGCCGCCCATTCGAGTAATAATAGGGAACGGGTTGGAGCGCTGTACGTTTGTGAGAACACGCCCGCGACACAAGCATTCCACTTTGTGGCGCGTGTCACACTGCTTCAGCTACCAACTCGCCTCCAATTATTACTACTCGAGCGCCTGATTTTCGCCTTCTGTTTCCGGTGTGAAACAACAGGCAGTCTTTAGCTGAGCTAAGATTTTTTTCCCAAATCAAGGGAGTTTATAAACATCTGTGCGTGCGTGTTCATTAGTATTCGGTTCTCTGTAAAAAGCGAACCGGGTGGCGGATGGGAAAATGCGGATGACAAAATACAGATGACAAAATGCGGATGGAAGAAGGCGGACGGAAAAATGCGGAAGGAAACGTGAGGATTGAAAATTGCGAGTGACAATATGCGGATGATACAATCCTAATGAGGGGAAATTAACCCATGAAGTTTTCATCCGCATTTTGTCATCCGCAATTTTCCTTCCGCATTTTGTCATCCGCATTTTTCCATCTGCATTCAGTGTCATCCGCATTTTGTCATCCGCATTTTGTCATCCGCATTTTGTCATCCGCATTTTGTCATCCGCATGTTGTCTTCCGCATGTTGTCTTCCGCATTTTGCCATCCGCACTTTGTCTTCCGCATGTTGTCTTTCACGTTTTGTCATCCGCATTTTGTCATCCGCATAATGAGGGGAAATTAACCTATGAAGTTTTCATCCTAATTTTGTCCTCCGCAATTTTCCTTCCGCATTTTGTCATCCGCATTTTTCCATCTACATTCAGTGTCATCCGCATTTTGTCATCCGCATTTTGTCATGCGCATTTTGTCATCCGCATTTTGTCATTCGCATTTTGTCATGCGCATTTTGTCATCCACATTTTGCCATCCGCATTTTGCCATCCGCATTTTGTCATCCGCATGTTGTCTTCCGCATTTTGTCATCCGAATTTTGGCATCCGCATTTTGCCATCCGCACTTTGTCTTCCGCATGTTGTCTTTCGCGTTTTGTCATCCGCATTTTGTCTTCCGCATTTTGTCATCCGCATTTTGTCATCCGCATTTTGTCATCTGCATTTTGTCTTCCGCATTTTCTCATCCGCATTTTGTCATCCTCATTTTGTCATCCATATTTTGTCATCCGCATTTTTTTATCCTCATTTTGTCATTGGCAATTTGCCTTCCTCCTTTTGTCATCCGCAATTTTCCATCCGCGTTCAGTGTCATCCGCATTTTTCCGTCCGCTATCCACCATCCGGTCGTCGTTTTACGGAGACCCTTGGTATTCTGTTGTTTGCTTTAAATGACAAACTATCGATTACGCAGACTAACAATCATTGACTGTTAGCAACTATTATATTCTGAAGTACTTTAAGCGAATTAAAAAGCGAAAATAAAGACAACTCAAGTGATAATTGTGCACCGCTGATTGATGCCAGAACCAATAATATATAGATTTAGCCAAGCCCAAAAGCGGAGCTCCTGATAACAATAAGTTAAGCTGGCTTGAGCCTGCGATCCAATCAAAAACTAGTCCCTGTGCAATGGTCAACTTCAAAAAAACACGTAACCTCGAAGAGCTCTAAACCAGGAGCCATAATTGATTATGGCTCCTGCTCTAAACCTGAGTCCGCCATATACGTCTCGTGATACTGGTCAGCACATGACTTGTTTTGACAATTGTCAATTAAGTATGGCTGCCATGTTTTCTATTTCTATACAAACATGTGGTTTTGTTCCTATAGCTTTGGTGCCCCGCTTAGCGGCCCTTCGGGCCGCCGGGGCTCCGCTATAACTGAGCAAATTTGCGGAAGGTCTAATATCAACCATCGTGTTCGAGTTTAAGTAACTCAGAAGCTGTCAGCTCGGTAAACCTAAATAAAGCATATTATTATCCAACTGCAGCGAATACCGTCCAAATAACGGTACAAATATACAGCGATATTGTACAGTTGTTTCTACAGTAAAAAACCTGTTTGCCACACGGGCTCGTCAAAATACAAACAACGAGTACAAATATGCAGCGATACTACACACCAAAACATATAATAAGATATATTAAACAAACAAACAAACAAGATAATAGACCAACAGTGGAATAAGCTATGATAAAACACTGAAACATGCCCACACACACAGAAACCGGCATAAACAACTCAGAAGCACAATAAATGAAACATACTTGTACTAATCAAGAATAGCTTTGTAAATTCTAAAATGGCGCTTTTGTTAGTTTGCCAAAAGACTGACCTCTTCAAACTATATTTTTAAAACCAAAAGTTAATCTCACTGAGAGGATTTTGCTAGAATGTCATATATTCAAGAACAAAAGCACATTCAGGTGTACAGCTCTAGGCTATAAATCTAAAGTGCTGGAAACTCTTTTGAGCCACCTTAAATTGATGTCTAGTAAGTGTATTTTTAAAACAACAATTTATTTCTGCTTCTTATGTTCCTCTACACTCAAACTTTTCCTACATGTTTTTTCAGTTTATAGCTCACCCTTACAGTCAAGTGATGTTGAATTCAGTCGTGTACAAGGGAACATCAGGATGTCGTCAACTGTCTTTTCCCATTAAACTTGTTCTGGTCATGTTGTACACCATTGTTATGCCGCTGTGCATGTTGGGATATATGCTTACTCCGTCCAACCGTTTTACAAAGAAGCTGGAGATACCGCTGTTCAAGCTGATGAGCCAAGCCTCCTCTGTTCTATGGTTTCTGGTTATAGTAACAATGTCAGCCTTCCAGGATAAATATGACACGTTTTTACGTCTGTCACCACTGAGTAAGTTGACTTTAATGTTGGGTTTATTTTTATAGCTTTGATTTTTAAGTTTGTTGTTTTGAAACAAAGTTTTTGTAGCCAGTACATAATATGCCGTATCCAGGCTGTAAAGTATTCTTTCAGTTTAGTATGACTTCTTTTCATCTATTCTGTAACGTGACTCAAAACTACACCATTCAAAATGGCGATCCAGTAAAAACACATCCCAAAACGAGGCGCACATAATTATTGAAGGCGGGAACCGAAACGCATACATTACATCTCTCTTCTTACCGAATGAACGGAATAAACAATTAGTACAACTAATTGCCCCCAAGAGTGTTTTTCGCAATGGGTTCATAAGTCAAGTCTCACAGGTGGCTTTACGACTCGACCGGATCGGATGACGTATGGTTCATTGCAAGGATCCTAGGTCTGTGGGTAGGGTGTGGGTTTTTGGTTAAGCATCGCTTCTGATTCTGTCTCTTCAACACTTTCGTGACCTTCCGAAGTGGTTGTGGAAGTTTCTGGTTTGTCACCTTGTCCCCCTGGATTTTCTTTTGCGCATAGGGATCTTGTTCCTGCGATACTCACTTCCATTAATGGTACGCACAGTATAAGACATCGGGGTGCTATGTTGGCCCAGAACGGTGGCAGGCTTCCAATTTTCTGACTTGGTTTGAACATGAACTTGTTTACCACTTGCAAGGGGTTTCAGCTCTTTAGCACCCTGATTATANTTCGATTTATTTTTTTATTGCGTGAGTGTGAAAACGACCTATTCTAGAACGAGCAAGGGATGACTAATGGTTGAGTCCATATGTGATTTTTTAGCTATAATCATTGGAATCTGGGTGATAGGAATCACTGTTCAGGAAATCAAACATGCCCTGCACCAAGGGAAGGAGCGATACTTGTCAGCCTGGTGGCACCTCGCTGTAATACCCATGATCATAAGCTACATTATTGCTGCTGTCCTATGGATCGTGGGCTACGCATTCATTGCCTCGAATTCAGGTTCTTGGACCGTGCATGTTCGCCAGCTACTGGGCTCCACTTCACTCGCCCCATACCACCTCCTGCTGTTGTCTAACAGTTTCTACTCCTTTGCGGTGATTCTGACATTCTTTGAGGCTTCCCACGTTCTTCTGGTTGACTCCACTTTGGGACCGCTTCACTTATCGCTCATGAATATGGGCAGAGATATCATGAAGTTTTTCGTGCTTTTTTCCCTCAACGTTTGTGCGTTTGCTCTCGCCATGAGAAAACTGTACTCACAGTACGTGCAGACCTCGACACAGGTCACAAAGAACAGCAACACCACAACAAGCCACGCCTTTGAAAGGTATCTTACCCTACCTCTAAACTTTCCAACTGCTAAATACGACAAATTATAAATATAGTTAAACCTATCTTTACACAAGAAGTGTAACCGTAATACCACGCTTTCATGACAAACCACCTGAATTGTCTCTCTAGAATCATCAGGCCTGGTTTGGTAGCTGGTTATTACGCTGTATGTATGCACCATCCTAGTAGACATGCAGTGTAGTAACATGCTATCCCTTCCGAGTCATTTTCCGTGCTTTGCGCTCGTCATACTTCCCTGAATAGAGTTTTTAAACCGTTCTTTCGTAATTGCTGTGTGTTTTATTACCAGCTGATGTCAAGGTGATAAAATTGGTTTCAGATTATCAATGATAAAAAAAAACATTCTAAATTACTAAATAATCTTTTTTCTCTCTTGCTTGACAGAATTGAGGGAGTATTTGGCACCTTATTTTGGGCATTGTTCGGGCACGTAGAAATGTCCACCTTCAACACCAGTGACCAAGCTCAAATAACTGAAGTCACGGGCCATTTACTGTTCGCTACATACAGCCTCGCTTCCGTGTTGGTTGCACTGAATCTTCTCATTGCCATGCTCAGTAACACCTATAAGAAAGTGGATGTAAGTTTTATATTAATGCATGGTCTCTTAGGAAGCATTGAGATTGTTGATTCACTATTGGTTTCTTTAGAGACAGAGGTATTTTTTATGATCTGTTGTGCATTGTTTCAAAAACCAATAGTCATCGCGGCTCGTTCCAGAAAGTAATGGAGGACATAGTTTGAGACAGTGTTTTAATGACAATCTCTCGGACCCCGAGTTGACACGAAATTTGACCACCTAACTTATCTGTTTTACCATTCAAACGTCTTTGATTTTGATTGGAACAAATCGCTTCAATTTGTTTAGGTTTGAAGGCGAATAAGATGCGCACTCTTCATAGCATTCAAGCACACAAGCAAATAGCCCATTTCCGAGTTGACCGAAGCCTCTCTATCAAAGCGAGGCCTGTTGCAAAACCATTCATATGAAAATAAATTTAATTTGCATGTGAATGAAATTTCATTTTCATATAAAAGGACGGACACCAATACTCGCTTAGAGAAAGAGGCTGAAGATGATAATTCGGAAATGGCCTAATCACTGACCCTTACCAAGAAAATTATTTTAGCTGGCAGAACGTCCAACTTTAAAAGTGCGGTTTGTAGCGATTGAAAACAGTGTTTGGGTGGGACTCACATGTTAAATGATTCACTTCCTAAGACGTCCATATTGAATTCAAAACGAAACAAATCAGGCAAAAGATTATATTACCCAAATTTGAGGGACGTACCTAAGCAAGAAGGGTGTCGTCTTTTTTCCGCTTTTTTTTTCCTACTCTAGAACTCGTTTTAACAGACGTTTCCTCACGTGAAATTTCAATTAACCGTGAAGTGGCCTCTATAAGACAAGGCTTCTAACTATATTTCTTCTTACAGGAGGAGAAAGACATTAAGTTCAAGTTTGCGCGGACCCGTGTCTGGATGTATTACGTCAGTGAGATTAGTGCTCTGCCTCCTCCGTTTAACCTGTTTCCTATAGACAAGGCCGCTATGGCGCTTCACTGGCTCGCAAGACGATACCACTGGATTACAAAAGTAAATTCTCTGGTGTAAATGAGTAGCGCTTATCTGATTAACCCTTGCTCCGTCTTTAGTCCTNCCATGCCCATGTGTCCTGTGTGGATTCGCTTCACCATGCCTTTCCTGAGCGCTGAGGGAACGACTATTCGTTCTCCTTTGAAGACTAAGCCTTCCATCACCGAGAGCTCATCCCTGTAGTTCCAGAAGGGCTTTACTGACGGTTGGCAACTGCTTCTGTCGTCTGGCCACCCCTCTTTGATGACTGCAATTAACTGTTGCATGTCAGGGTCAGATGCTGTACTAGCTTGTACGTCCGACATCTTTTAGTCGGAGACTGGTAAGTTCGCCACAACTAGATCGCCTTGAGCATCGGAAGCCTCACGTGTGCAATTGGTTTCTCTAAGGTGCAGACGCGACAACGTGTCAGCTACCACTTGTTTTCAATCTTAGTTTTCACATTCATGATACATCAAGAGAATATATATGTATTTTATTAGATGTTTTAGTGTGCAGTATCGCTGTATATTTTTACGAGTTCTGCCGTATTTTGACGAGTCCGTAGGGCGAGTCAAAATACAAACAACTCGTAAAAATATGTATATGTTATTGGCCGGCTGGGAGGTCTGTATAGTGAAAAACTGTGACCGTGGTCTTGAAAATGCTGCCCGAGGCCGCAGGCCGAGGGCAGTATTTTCAGGCCTGAGGTCACAGTTTTTCGCTATACGGACTGACCCTAAGCCGGACAATAACACGTTTATCTTTTTTTCTTGGCTTACGCGCCGTCTACAAACCATTCGTAAAAAAATCTAACGAGTGAACGAGCGAGTAACTCAGATACTAGACAAAGAAAGGTGTATTAAAGAACAGATTTATTTCGAATTACTTTATGTTAGTTGCATTAAGTTCACCAGTTAGGTTCTCCTAAAGTGTTTTTCCGGTGTGAAATTTCGTGCAAAGTTTGAAGTTGTACTACGAAAGGAATTTCTGTCAGTCGTTGCGAATCACTCGAAATCAGACTTTTCTACCGTAAATTGAGTAGCAGATAGGGAGGAAATTCGTTAAGTGTATTCTACAGAAATTCTCTCAAATACAGCAACGATCAGAGAGATAAACTCGACTGAAATCGGCTCATTTTGTACTTGAAAATTGTACAGAGAGAGACATGCAGGATTACGCACCATTACAGCGCCGAGCTACAGATTATTCACTAATCTGCTAGCAGATTAGTGAATAATCCGTAGGTTGGGCGCGCAATGCATGATTTCCAAGAGCAAGTCAAGTTCACGTAAGAACATGGCTTGTCGAAAATAAACTGTGTTCGGTGCGATAATGCGTTTGTCGTTATTTTATTTAAAACAATGTATAATAAAACAATTATGAGATTCCGTTTTTGTGATATCCGAAATAATCAAGGTCTCGGTTAGTGTTATCAGCTTTCGGCTTCGGCTGATAACACTTACCTCGACCTTGATTATTCCGGATATCACAAAAACCTCATCCAATAATTGTTTAATATTAGTACGGTTATTTGGACGGTATTCGCTGCAGTTGGATAATAAGTTCTCTTTACCTGGCTGCGAAACAATGTTAAGGTTCAGGCAAGGAAAAATAAAGCTATATACTATACTTTTAGAACGAGCACGGGATCCCTTCTTATTAATTTTCCAAACCTTTTTTTTTTTTTTCTTCCTAGCTATAATCACTGGAATCTGGGTGATAGGAATCGCTGTTCAGGAAATCAAACATGCTCTGCACCAAGGGAAGGAGCGATACCTCTTTGCATGGTGGCACCTCGCTGTAATACCCATGATCATGTGCTACATTATTTCTGCTGTCCTATGGATCGTGGGCTACGCATTCATTGGCCCGGATTCAGGTTCATGGACCATGCTACTGGGCTCCACTTCACTCGCCCCATACCACGTCCTGCTGTTATCTAACAGTTTCTACTCCTTCGCGGTGATTCTGACATTCTTTGAAGCTTCCCATGTTCTTCTGGTTGACTCCACCTTGGGACCGCTTCACTTATCGCTCATGAATATGTGCAAAGATATCGTGAAGTTTTTCGCGCTTTGTGCCCTCAACGTTTTTGCGTTTACTCTCGCTATGAGAAAACTGTACTCACAGTACGTGCAGACCTCGACTCTGGTCACAAAGAACAGTAACAGCACAACAAGCCACACCTTTGAAAGGTATCTTACTCTGTCTCTTAACGTTCCAAGCGCTAAATATGATTATTGATTAATAAAGATAAGTTATCGTTGCGTAAGAAGTGTAACCTTAACAAGGTAACCAAGGTTTCCATGACAATCCACCTGAGTTGTCTCTCTGGTATCACCAGGCCTGTTTGGGTAGCATGTTATTACGCTGTATTCATGAATGATCCACGTATACATACAACAGCAGCAGCAGGCTAATTTCGCGTACTAACTTTGCTTTCCACTGATCGCACTTTCCTGATTAGAGTTTTAATTGTTCTTTAGTTTTTGCTGTGTGTTTTCTTAGCAGCTGAAGTCAAGGTGATAAATTTGGTTTTTGTTTAACAATGATTAGAAAACTATTCTAAATGAACGAATGATATAAAAACTTTTCCTTTTTCTTGCTTGTCAGAATTGAGGGAGCATTTAGCACCTTATTTTGGGCATTGTTCGGGCACGTAGATATGTCCACCTTCAAGACCAGTGACCATGCCCAAATAACCGAAGTCACGGGGCATTTGTTGTTTGCTGCATTCTGTATCGCTTCCGTGTTGGTTGCTATGAATCTTCTCATTGCCATGCTCAGTAACACCTATAAGAAAGTGGATGTAAGTTTTATATTAATGCATGGTAAGCCACTAGCTCTCTGGAAGCATTAAGCCTGTTGATTTGCAATTGGTTTCTTTAGAGTTAGAGGTATTTTTATGATCTGTTGTGTGTTGTTTCAAGAACCAATGGTCATACCTCGTTCCCAAAAGTAATGGAGGGCGTAGTTTGAGACAGTGTCTTAATGACAATCTGCCGGAACCCGAGTTCACACGAAATTTGACCACTTAACTTATTAATTTTACCTTTCAAACGTCTTTGTTTTTGATCGGGTCAAATCGCTTTAATATGTCCAGGTTTAAACGTTAGTAAGATGCACACTCTTCATAATATTCAAACAAACAAGCAAATTTACTGATCCTTACCAAGAAAATAATTTCCTAGTTCACATTAGCATTTGACCATGATCCGGCCATCTCATCAGTACGGCAAAACGTCCAACTTTAAAAGTATCGTTTGTAGCGATTGAAAACACTGTTTTCGTGAGGCTCACATGTTAAATAATTCACTTTCTAAGATGCTTATACTGAATTCAGAACCAAATATATCAGGGAAAAGACGATATTACCCAAATTTGAGGGACTTACCTGAACAAGAAGGGTGTCGTCTGTTTTTCCGGTCTTCACATGTTTATGAATCTATAATTCGTTTCAACAGACGACTATATTTTCTGACGTGCAATTTCAATTAACTGTGAAGTGGCCTCTCTCTCAGACAAAGCCTCTAACTGTATTTCTTCTTACAGGAGGAGAGAGACATTAAGTTCACGTTTGCGCGGACCCGTGTCTGGACGTATTACGCCAGTGAGATCAGCGCTCTGCCTCCTCCGTTTAACCTATTTCCCCTAGACAAGGCCGCTATGGCGCTTAAATGGCTCGCCAGACGATACCACTGGATTAGAAAAGTAAGTTTCCGTCCAAGAGCATTGAACATTTGTGCCAAAAGCTAGTGATAAGTTCCTCGGAGTAAATGATTAGTGCCCATCTGATTAACGCTGGCTCCGTCTTTAGTCTCCATAACATGCCTGGCTAGTAAATACAGGATTATACATACATTTATTATATGGCTGTGTCTCACAAGGACTGGGAACTACCGAATTCACGAATTTGATTGGCTGAAATCGATATTGACCGCGGTCTAGATTTTCCC